CTGATTTCCCTACAGGCGGAAGTGCAGAGAATCATTTCAGCGTGAAATTCGATTGTTGGGAATTTAATTAGCGAAAATCGTGACAGACAATCTCAATCGGAACGCCTATTCGTACGCAAAAACGTTACTTCAAAACTGGAGGGTGGTAACGAACGCTCCATTGACGAACACACACTAGCAATGGAGTCAGCAGCTGGAGCTTGTTGTGTGACATAACAAATCGGATTCATCAGCAAACTTTAGTAAATTGACCACGATTGCTGCGTTCGGTACCTGATCTGTTTTACCCTATTGCTAGAACAGTGAGCTTCACAGGATGTGTTATGGAGCAAAACAAACATTCGTACTTTGTGCACAAATAAAGGAGCGAATCAGAAGAAAAGCGTGTGCCATACTGACAAACGCATCTTGCAGTTCATCGAGCTGTTGGTTGAGCGTACGATTTTGATCCACTGCTTGACTGAGAGCCGTACGTTCGTAAGTTGCTGCGGCCAGCACGGAATCCCGGTCGGTTAACACAACATCCGTCTCGTGAACCTCGGCATCGAGTAGCTTAGACTTCAGTGAGACCGTCTGTAGAGGAGCGGAAGGTAGAGTTGGAAAGCGAAAACAGACTAGACGATAGGTGATATTCTCCGGAAATGTGGAGCTGGGGTTGTTAGAAACGGGTTGTATTGTCACCAAAAACAATACGGAAAAGCTTAGAGGCGATCGGGAAAACACGGTTCAAATAAACCCATCGATCGTTTTGCGGTATTTTCTGGAGCGGAGTGTATTTGTCCACACAGCTGCACACGGAGAAATTCTACTCATGTGGTCCCATCTTGATAATCAGTTTTTGTGAAAGAGGAGTCCAAGTTGCCAAGACTGAGCAACAAACACCTGACAAGAATTTTTCAGGAGAGAATTATTGTACATGATCATTGCCCAATTCTTTGAAAAAACAAGGCGAATTACAATCACTGTTGAATAAACTGACCGTCATCGTACCGTCTTTCGGCATGCGCCTTGCAAAGTTAAAGCGCCTGGATTTGCTTCACAACTCATGGTCTCCGAACTTACACCGAGAATTCAAGGAGAACCACTGAATTATTTGTGGGAACTTTTACATACCCCGGTAGGTGTGTTAGCTTTGGCGGAAGTGTGAGTGATGAAACAGGCAATGCCGAATGATGAGGATGACACGTTGAGCTTGAGATTGGACGGCTTGGATGGCTATCGGAGCAGGAAATTCCCCCCGGCAGCTTATCGCTTACGCGGGGGTGTCACCTTACTCCATCACAACTGTGTCAGCGGTTTTGCACTTCAGAAAATCCTGTTTTGTATGTGGCTTTTGGGCAGAAAATTTTGAACACAATCAGTGGCAGCAACTATCACCGGGAAGTTGGAACGTCATTATCCTGATACCCCTAGATCAAACAATACCAAACAGCACATTTCCCTAATGTTGTTCGAAGTAGTCCAGTGAAGCACGTGCGGAGTTTGAAATGACAATGTGACGGAATGCTCGGTTGTGTTAATTCGCCGAAAGTGGCGATTACTTCGAAAACATTTTGTCACCATTCAAAGTAGCATCGTCCGTATGCCCCAGGATGGGGAGATCACCGTTTCTTGCTGCGTTCATATAGTCTTAAGAGATGGCTGTTTAAAAATCATCTCACTGATGGTGCGATTGGTTGTTTCGCGATCGGTATTACGTTGTCATCTGTCTTGCTTGGCTTTTGTTGGTCCACTAAATACCAACCAGGGAAAAAGGGATAAAAAGACAGTATCTAGTGGAGCAAATAATCGCAAGCAAGACACACAACAATTCAGCACAGATTGCGGACGAATGAATCCCCTCACGGATAGGATGCCTTTACACAGCTGATCACAGTGGCGACCCAAGATACTTTTAAATAATTATTCAAACGCAAGTAACTGCGGAAAATCTCTAAACCACTCAGCAACGATATCACACGGAATGGTAAACATTCGCTGGGCTCCGTGAACGGATCAATTAACACTTGGTGGACAGCCGAAGGGACTGAAGCATAACTATCCCAAGTGAATGTGAAAACAATAACTTTTGAAGTGTTGCACCCTTCTAGTGCCTAGCTGTCATGCCACCCGAAGGAAACACGAGGTCTGAGATACTGCCAGGTTGTCCGAGCCTAGACAAAAGAAGTCAAGATGCGGAGGTCGGGTTCGAACCACGCAGCTTCCGGGCAGTAAGTTCGCACTCTAACCACCTTTCCAAAGTAAATGTGTAACAAGGACACTGCCCTCTGCATTTCTGGCGCGCGCTTACTTCCCCTCACACAGAAACAGTGAACGGTGTGTCATGACCCACTATCCCACTTGTCACAAGCAGATGAGGAATGGTGAACAAGAGCGGGAAGATTATTGTACCCTTAGCATGAGGATATATGGTCTACTCCTAATAAGTGATCCATTGTTCGGGGAACATTGAGAAAAAGTACAAGAAGGAGCTTTCCAGATACAGAGTATCGAGGAGTCCTCCTAAAGATTTGCGAGCTGTTTTGCTTGGGAGAGGGTATCCATGGCACGGCTTACTGATCGTTGTCTGCAACTTGTTCTTCTCAGAGGGTTCATCATCTGCCTCAATAGAAATTTACGAAATTTAATGAAAGTCCATACGAGTCTTTAGATGGGGACCTTATCAAGCAAAAGAAGACCGTATCGCTCAAGGAGGTGTGGTTATCCACATTATTCTCAGCCAGATGAAATGAGGCATTCAAAACATACAGCACATTGCCCCAACTCACCTCTTTCGTGAATCGTTGCATGTCGGACTGCTGCAGTGCCGTCAGATCCTCCGGCTTTCATAGCCGGGTGGACTCCATCGTCGCCGCACCTGCACTCGTTTGCCTCTCGTCCTCTCTATGTACGTTTCTGGTCGAATCTGGACTCGGGGACTGATAATGTACAATTTCCAGTTTACTTCCTGTGACAAAAAGGCAAGCAAAGTTACAAATCTAAGTCGGTTTAACTGAGGATGTACTATGTGACACAAATCTTTCGGCTTCTTCTACAAATCTGATGTGAACCCATTTGTCGAAGAACACGAATCCCTTGGGGATGATGACGCTCGAAAATTCTGTCCTGACAAGTTTATCGAAGTGGCTTTTCTTTTGAGAATAATCGGCCACAATAGAACCATCGCCCGATACCTCACAAAAGTAACCAACAACAACAAGGAGGAGGCCAGCGTTTACTATCTATCAGCGGTCCAAATCACGAAATCGAGAGAAGGCTCTCACTACTCACATAAGTTGAGTAGCAAAATTATCATCCTGAGAATGTGTGGCTGCTCAGGTTTACATAGAACAAACTGCCAGGGAATTGCACACCAAAATTGGTGAGCATAAAAGAAGGATAAACAAACCACCAAGGAAGGCATAAAAATACCAAACGCTAGTCAGAGATCCTGCGCCATTCTGAAGAACGCACACAGAACAATTCTCCCCCGTTGGACGCTGTTTTAGCCTGCGTAGCACATGGCAAACTATCGTAGTCGACGGAACTGGATGGTCTTCGTGACTGAATTTACTGCCGCACAACCAAATCCCGTTTTCTAATTACCCCATAACTGATTCGTTGACGCCATCCGATAACAGCAAAGCTTGTGAAGCAGACTCGAGACGCTGTTTCAGATGTCACGTTTAGCGACCGCAAAACAATAAAGCCCTTACACGCAACCCCCGGGACCTAATGTGATGCCTTTCCGAAGTCCCAAGTGAAGTAAGTTAGCAGGTGTGCTTCTGGCCTTTGAGATTTCTGCACTAACTTTATCATCAACACTTCCACTACAACCAACAGAGCTACTGAGGTATGCATTATTCCCCACAAACCCCGGTGATTCTCCTTGAATTGCAAGGAGCATGTGCAGACACTGCACGTCCTCAAGCATGACTCTGAACTTTGAAGGTGCACGGCATATGCCAGTAAATGGTCAGTGTAATCAACAAAGCTTTTGCTTCCCTTCGGCCCTTTAAAAATGAGGGCAGTGTCATAGGCGTACTTCATTTCAAAAAGGCTCTCACCAGCAACAATTTGAAGACCTTCCAACTCTCGTCCCATTATTTCATCCACGACAAAGTTGAACAAGAAAGTAGTTAAATTCAATGTCGGATACTACTTTCTATAGACGGGCTATTAAATAACTCGCCAAACGCTATCACCCATCAAGAAGTATGTGAATATATGGATCAGATTATGTTCAAAAACTTCTAGGGCATGCCCTGTTGAGAAAGTGCAGTTAGCAGCACTGGCTGATCGACAACCGAACGCGCCCTTGAAGTCACGGAACACCAAGATTGCGGGTCGCATGTACATGTGGCGTTGCCCAAACACTGCATGGAGTGTGGAGAATCGGTTAACTCAGCCTCTACGTGGTCGAAATCCCACTCGATACTCACGGGTCAAAGCGACACGAGTGTGTGCGCACAGGTTAAGTTTACACAGATCAGTAACCGGGCCCAACGTTCCTTAACCTCGGTGATCAGACGAGAACCAGTGTTTCCAAAATGGTATGGTCGAAGCCACCATTCAGCTTTAACATTCCTTCGGTGCCCAGCTGCCATTTCACCAGAAGGAGGCACGAGGGCTGGGAAACTACCAGGTTGCTCAAGCTTAGACAGGGGAAGTCGAGAGCAGTAGAGAGCCTGAGGTCAGTTCGAAGGAGCGAGCTTCCGGTCGGTAAATTCGCGCGCTAACCACTGAGCTCTCTCGCCCCAAATTTGCGCAGTGCAGATGCCCAAAGTTATTGGAGCAAACTAATGAAAGTGAGTCTAGCGCGCATCGGTGGGGAAACAGTAAAACACTCATCCAGAAAGCTATGTAATTCTTAGGTTTCGACTACGAGATTCTTGGCGGAATTCAATAAGCGTACCGTGTTTAATGTAGCCTAACGAGAATAATCGCACTATAGTAGAAGAAGGCTTTCCAAAGAGAGTGAAATGAACTCATATTTGATACTCTGTTCACGTCTACGCATCAATTCTGCGATACACCCCGTAGAGTTCGACTTTCGTACCTGTTAGCTGCGCGTTACATGCCGCTGGGTGTAGTCCGATAAAAATCATCCGGTACCATATTATCAATTAGAACAACATACTACGGGCACTGGAAGAAGTCGATAACTATTCCACTGTGGAAGTCAAATAAGAAACTCATTAGTAAAGATAACGAACCGAATTTTGGCAAAAAAACAGCGTCACAGTAGCAGTAAAACGTTTCATAATCAGTAGATTTAAGGCCGCCAACATTTTTCGTGACAACCGTTTTGGCAAACTCAATGCTGGTTATATACTCCGCCTGCTGAGTAGACAACAGTTTTGGTTTGTTCAAGAAGCGGTGTGAAGTAGCCCCAATATATGCATCCAATCTCCTTTAGAACAGCAAATGCTTTGTGTGGCGATTTTTACGGTGAAGTGAGAAGAATCTTTTCGAGAAGAGCCAGACATCTAAATTATTTTAAGCTTTAACGCTTAAAATGGTCCATTTTGGTCCATTCTCAACATGCAGTTCCGTTTCAGTTCAATCAGACTAGGTCGAAAAATTGAAAAGTCCTGTACCATGCCCTTTATACTTCACAATTTCCTTCTATACTCTTGTTGCTACAGACCAAACAGCCCCCGTGGCATAGCGCATCGAGTAGTTGAACACACTCACAAGTTGGCCATTGCGGACCACACCATAGCGCAATACGAATTACGCTGAAACAGTTTTTAATTGGCAAACGTGCTCGTACTCATGGGGACTTAGGGCAACTACTAGACAAATGAGGCATAGTGGAGGCCATATTTTCAGCTTCTCCAGTACAGTCACTGCATTCCCATATGTTGGTTCTGCAACCTAGAGTCATGTGGGATTAAGGAAAAATCTTTCACTGGACTGAGGCCATTTTTGTCATACTAAACACTCCAATTAAACGTCGGTTTTATAAACTCTTGTGATGCGTCAGCCTCAATCGGCGTTCCTCACGGCTCCACTTTAGGCGGTCTTCGTTCTGCGGTTGATTCGCTGCGCCTTTCAAGAAAAAGTTCTAAGGATCCCATCAGACCAAGAATCGTTGGGTTGCGGACGAACGATAGACAGGCAAAGCTGTGTAGCAAAGTCCCATTCACAAGGTCTCCACCACTATTTGAAAATACTTGGCCGAATGCCGTATTCGTTTGTTTGAATTGAATGTGTCCTTGCGTCCTTGTCCTTGTTCGTGGCGGAGGAAAAATTTTCTAAATATATTGGTAAACACAGCTAGGTTTCAACAGAAGGTTAGTCAAAAGCGTATGATAATCAACACACATTCGAGACTTTAGAAAGTAGTGTGCGTACAGTTCCGTGCATAACCAGTGTGTTTCACTTTGGATAATCGCTAAGTAACGCGCTATAATAGTTACGTCGCATCTCGAGTATTTGGAACTCTGCGCGGATGAACGTTGGAGCCACTGCTCCATCAATCTCAGATTTTGTTTACATTTGTCGCTTCTGCGGTTTGGTGAAGAGTCTTCATCTCTCGAATACATTTCGTCCAACTGCCATGTTACTGGTTTAATTTGCAGTATTTGCTCTTTGCTTGCTGCTACACGACAATTTTCCCTAGTCACACGCCATGATGGGTATCGTAAGCCATGCGAATGTTGTCAGGAAACCGCGTCAGCCCGTGACATCGAGCGGAGCCCATAAGAATCTGATATACAGGGTGTGAGTTATCTTAGTACTCATCGACGTCCACAACTATTTTATTTTATCATTTATTTTTGAAGAGCATGGTCACAAACATAAAAAGTGAATGCAAGCTATGAATGCGAAAGAGTAACGGGAGAATATGGGAGAAAAAAATGAGAAACGTCTCATTCAAAATCATGCCAAGGACAGTGCCAGTCTGATGAGGTGAATCCCAAAGTATGTAAAGATTTTGGCATGGGAACACGCGTCTAAAGACCAACAACCAAAGAAAGGACCAGCAATGGTGAATGATCTTCAAGGCGCAGTGTGCGCTAGCACGGTCAAGACTCGCACATCAGGCACAAAGTGTCCGTCATACTGGGTCTGGTGTGGGATTAAATGGCAAAAATGTACATTCAAAGCCATGTGCCACGCATAAAAGTGTCTTAAGTACGCAGAGAGCCCACAATGGCAAGCAAACACAAGTCACTGCCTGCGACCTTAGGAAGTCCCAGTCCAGTAACAGCCTTAGCGGATTGAGGAAAGCATATCCCTCGATAAGAGATGATCATCGGTTGGTGAACCAAAAAGTCGATATCACAACCGATGGCATGTAGGGTTGAGATTATGGCGAGGGAATATTCATCAGCACCATACTTCTGCTACTTCTAATTCCACACTGTCTCTCCACGCCCATCCGAAACTATGCTACTACTACCACTACTAGTTAACGATAATCTAAAATGTAGTAACCAGAAGAACGTAAAGGTAATTTTATAAAGCAGTTAAACATAAATATAAAGCCAATTTATGGAAACCTACAAATCATGGCTTATCGGTTTTTAGGATGCATGATTCGTATTTGTTTTCTAGCATTCTTTCCACCCACACTGAGTCTTTGACAGGCGTCTGACTTTCAACACTGTGTGTTGGTAACTTTACAGTTCCTCCCCTCTGATCAACACTTTCCATGTGCAGTCTACTACTTTGTCCATTTCAGTCACTCCACATTCAACTCCGTGCTTGCTGTCTTAGTCATTTTAACGCAGAGGTGGACATTGCCTCACCCTTATGCTTGTGGAACGCTGCTTAAATAGAACTGAAATACGCGCTACGA